CTTCTGGAGGCAAGTTGTTCCACTGGTTAATGTTTCTCATTGTCTGGAAATTTCTCCTTGGTCCTAGGTTGCTTCTCTCCTTGATTAGTTTCCATCCATTGCTTCTTGTCCTGCCCTCAAGTGCTTTGGAGCAGCAGTGGTCCACGGGAAAATTTTGGTGGTCCGCAGAGAAATGTCACCCCCAAAACACCCCCCAAGCCATTAATGTGGAGTGTGAAGGATGTGTGTGTTTGTGTTTATTTTCATGGTCATGATGTGCACTGAAGATAGTGTTTGATTTTGTTATACGAGGTGCAGTGACAATAAAGTAAACTAACTAACTAATCCAGGCTGCACGGGAACACAAGGCTGCGCCACCTACATGGGCTGCGGGAACACAAGGCTTGCGTCCCTTACATTGTCAACAACACAAGGTAGTGAGGGGAGAGGGGAAAGGGCGGGGGGGGAGCTTGCCCCACTTGCCCCCCACACCAGGCCTGGCCACCAGGCTGCTTCTTTCTGCTTCTTTCTTCTGCTGCTTTTGGATGCACACAAGGAAAGCAGCAAAAGTCTTTCTTTCTCTCCCCCAAACTACGCCAGAAATGAGTCTTTGGGACCCTGCAAGGCATCTTGCTCCAAGAGGCTGCGCCCAGCACAACAAGTCTCACAAAGACTCATTTCTGGCGAAATTTGGGGGAGAGAAAGAAAGACTTCTGCTGCTTTCCTTGCATGAAGCCAAAAGTCTCTCTTTCTCTCTCTTTCTCTCTCTTTCTCCCCCTCCCCACCCCCCGAAAATGGAGTTGGAGACGGTATCCTGTGATCCCAAATAAAGATTGATCGATCGGTAGGAAAACGGGGTGAGTAATTTTCCTGCAGACTTTTGGGGGGACTTTCCCAGGGTCCCTGGTCCGCAGGATTTAAAATTATGAGTTTGGTGGTCCCTGAGGACCAAAAGAGTGACGAGCCCTGCTTTTGAGAATCAATGTATCCCTCTTTTCTTTGTGGCAACCCTTCAAATATTAAAACACTGCTATCATGTCACTCCCCTTCTTTTCATTAAACTAGAGGTACCCAATCCTGCAACATAATATAACTACATTGTTTGGGCTGGAGATAATACAGTTCAGTCAGGCCGTCAGTTCACCTCATCCATTTTTTCCCCATATATGAATAACTTACCCTTTTTAAACTCCCTTTTTAACTTTTGATGCTATTCTATCAAGCACCATTACCTCCAGTATGTTACTTTTCAGATTCATTGCATCATCCAGATGTCTAATAATAGTTGGAAATGAATTTTCTTCTCTGCCAGCAACTCGGCATTTTTGCCATACAATACAAACAATCATTAAGAATATCATCCTGTCAGTATATGCAATCGTTATGAATCTATCAAGACAAATATGGTGGATATTTTGTACTTAAGGGTGGCTGTTATATACAACATAGGGGAAACAGCTGATTGGCCGCAGTGAATTACTTACATTTGTTAACTGTCAACTGCTTGTTTGCAGAAACAGAAAAAGCAATCAAATCTTTTGAATTTGAGCCAGAGATACAAATGGGAGGGAGGGGAAGAGTAAAACTTGATTTTTTTGTTAGCTTTTTAATGTCCATATATTTCTTTAATATAATAAGTTTATGCAATGTATATATGCTTGTTTTACTTCTAATGATTTTATGCAATAAAAATGTTACCCGCATTTCAGCACAGTTCCAAGAAATACAAAGCAACCTTTTGCTTTGATTGGTGAAATTAAAAGCCTATGTTTGTCAAATATCTATGGAAATTTTCAGTCATCCAGGTCATGGTTGTTGCAAAAGTGCTTTTTTTCAAGAGGCAACTGGACTTTCTTGGTTTTTCTTTGAAGACATTTTTGCTTCTCATCCAAGAAGCTTCTTCAGCTATTCAGCTGGATAAGAAGCGAAACGTCTTCAAAGAAAAACCAAGAAAGTCCACTTGCCTCTTGAAAAAAAGCACTCTTGGGACCTATATTTGTTACTTTGGATGCTTGATGTGAACCAGTTTCATTCCTTACTTTGCTAGATTCATTAAGAATCAAATACCTTCCTAAGTGGAAAGGCCTGTCCACTATTTGTTTCTTGGCTGCAATGCAGCATGACAGAATATTGGAAATATATATGCAGAGGCAGGGCTGTATTTTGGTATTTTCTTATCGTTATCTCTTATCTTTGACTAAGTCATAGGTTTATTATGCAGATCTGAAGTAAGACAAGCCTAGGCCAGAGATCACATAAGTAGTTCTTTTTAGAAAGTTCATTTCACTGGGATATAAACTCATTTCCCTAGAACAATTTTGTTTTACAATTAATTAAATCATAACCACTGTTCAGCACAGAACTCCATTTTCCACTAAAACAGCTCCCATTTGACCTACGTTTCCTGTTAGTTTCCAACAAACTCCATTTAGTTCAGATCAGGATAAATTCTATTTAAGATGCTACCAAAAACAGAACTTTTGTTGGTGAGGGACATAATTTGAAATAAAGCATAAGACCAAAAGTTGATGTAACACATTGTAATCCTCAGAAAACATCCTTAAAATCTTTGGGAACGATTCACTATCATTTGCTAAAGTGTTCCTGGGCTGAATCCCCTTTACTTTGTTAATGAACTCAAAACTTGGCAACTGTACTGAAAACTAATCCTTCTGTGCTTTCAGAATTTTGCTCAGAAAACTTTCCCTCACTCCAGAATTCTTTTATAGTCAGTGTCCATTTGCTCCAGTAAACTCAATCAGAACCCGGATGCACAGCCTTTGGGTCTTCTAAAGCAATGATCAGATCACCTCTCACAGTACAAATGGAGTTTAAGGGTTAAATTCAAGTGATATGTTCCATCGGACTGTTTCTTGTCTGTTTTGTAGACCATGCACTTGGAACATGCTGTTTGTGAGGTCTGAATTGACAAGGTAGAAAGCAAAGGTGCTAGCATGCCTGCATATAAAGATGCATAAATTCTGTGTCATGCGACTGTTGGAATCTGAATCTGAGGAGGAAGCTGAACAGCTGACAGGGAGTGGGAGTGTAGCTCCATTGGCTGTGGAGAAAACTGGGGAAGGGCAAAATCTGGCTGGGCAGAGCAGGAGAGAGGTAGAACAAGGGAGAGGGAGTTCAGAGGAAGACCCAGGCCCACCCCCTCTTCATCCTAGGGCACACAGGGAAGAACGGAGAAGAGAGCAATGTGGGTTGCATGGTTTATGGGGGAGGAAAGGGCCCTGATTCCCTTCATTAGCCACACCTGGGAATGAGAGTTTATGAATCAAAAAGTTAAGCGTGAACATGTGTGACTTCTTTTGCAAGCAGGACCAACCAGGATCGCTTATCAAATCCATCTTCACTGGATTGCTCTCCTCTTTGAAAAAGGAAAACAAGCAAGAAGGAAATTAGATTTTTTAAAAAAATCCATTTCATATATAAAAACCAAATGTTTCCTGGAGAGCTTTTATTTGCTTTTTAATTCTTCCAAAAAGGTGCCTTAGAAAGATCCAGGCTCTAATCCTCACAATGTGATTTTTATGTTTCCAAACAGCACATATGCTTGGAAATTGCATTCCAGTATATTTTCATTTTTCAAATTGGAATCCTTACAAGAGTTCCTAGAAATGTTGGCACAAATGTAAATTACGAAAAAGAGCCTTTAAGTAGTAAGTAGAGCAGGAATAGTAAATCAAAATTACAGATAGTCCTCGATTTACAATGGTTCATTTAGTGACCATTCAAAGTTACAACAGCACTCAAAAATTTTTGACCATTTTTCACACACTTCAGATGCTTCATACTTATGAAGAGTGTGGTGTGATGACCCAGGTTGGGATACAAAAGCAACAAAGTCACAAAAACAGGTGAAGTCTCTTTAATTCCTTCAACTTGGCTTCAAAGGTCCAAATATTATTGACAGGAGAAAAAACTCCCCCACAAACAATTGCGAAAAGGAAGAACTTCCATTCAAACTCAAAATACATATAAATTATAAATAGACAAAAAACAACACAAACCACACTGAAGCAATTAAGGAGACCAGGCAGGATAAAGGCTTGAAGACGTCCACAGATATCGTAACATACACTGGGAAGGACGCCAAATTCAGAGAGGAACGACAGACTAGAAGTATATCCACACTTTGTTTCCAGCACTGGCCCATACACATGTCCGTCCTTTTAACCAGTTCTCACAGCTGCAGCCCATGAAGAGTATTAGGGCCCTTTCCTCCCCCGTAGACCACGCCATTCACTTCCTTATCCTCTCCTCCCTGCGTGCCCTAGGATGGAGAGGGGATGGGCCTGGGTCCTCCTCTGACTGCCCAGCTGGCCTCTGACCTTCCCCAGCTTCCTCTACCACCTCTGGAGCCACACTTCCACTCCCTGTCGGCTGTTCCTCCTCTCCCTCAGAGTCAGTGTCCAACGGGGCATGACAACAACCATGCTTTTAGATACCGGTATGTTATCAGTTCTTAGATTAAAGATAAAAATAAAGGTTCCCCTCCTACATACGTGCTAGTCATTCCCAGCTCAAGGAGGCGGTGCTCATCTCCATTACAAAGAGAAAGAGCCAGTGTTGTCTGAAGGCGTCTCCGTGGTCATGTGACCGGCATTACTAAATGCCCAAGGCGCACGGAATGCTGTTACCTTCCCACCAAAGGTAGTCCCTATTTTTCTACTTGCATTTTTATGTGCTTTTCAACTGCTAGGTTGGCAGAAGCTAGGAAGCTAAGTAACAAGAGCTTCCTCCGTTATGCGGTGCTAGGGATTCGAACTGCCGAACCGCCGACCTTTCTGATTGACAAGCTCAGCGTCTTAGCCACCAAGCCACCTTGTGAACTTCAGCAAGCCACCTAGATTATTACCAACCAAAACAGGGCGGCTACTATTGTAAAAGTTGAACAGTATTTCTGTACTTTAAAATATATAGGCCACATTCTGCAATATGGACATCACTAAGCTAGGACAAACCTGTTTGATTTTAACAGATGTTAGTCTAAACTTTCCTTTTGTTAACAGAGAACCAGCGGCTAGATCTCTCTGGGAGTCCTTAATGAATCTGAAACAGAAAGAAGGTTTGATGGAAGTTAGAAGACACCTTGTGGAAGCTGCAAGCCGAGAAAATTTGCCAATCAAGATGAGCATGGGTGAGCCCATATGCCATTAACTAACTCTACACTGCGAATGCACTAGAAGTAGCGCGACTTCATAATGATTGTTCATTTGATAAGCTGGCATTATTTCTCATTGGACAGGAAGCTAAATTTTCTGAAGTGAGTAAGATTGTAATGCCTTTGTTATATAGAGAGACCATTTCTGTGGATTCTGCATTCAAAAATCTGCCCTGTTTTTTCTAATGGAATTAGAACAGTTAGACAATTGTATCAATCTGCATGATTAATAGTATGCTGAAATAAATGTATTGTATCAGAAATCGTATTAATGAATCTTTTGCCTGTTCCCACAACACTGTCAAACTATTTACTAAGACTGTATTCTTCTCATCTTTCCTATTACCTATCTCCTCCCACTTATGACTACAACCTTGTTGCTTGTATCTTTATCTTTATCTTTGTATATTTTTATTTAGTTTCCTAATATGATTTGATTGGCTATTTAATATCCTATGACTATCACTAAGTGTTGTATTTTATGATTCTTCAAGAATGTATTTTTTATGTAAACTGAGGCCCTGAAGACAAATTCCTTGTGTGTCCAATCATACTTGACCAATAAAGAATTCTATTCCATTCCATTCCATTCCATTCCATGTAGAGTAGAGTAGAGTAGAGTAGAGTAGAGTAGAGTAGAATAGAATAGAATAGAATAGAATAGAATAGAATAGAATTCTTTATTGGCCAAGTGTGATTGGACCCACAAGGAATTTGGTACATAAGCTCTCATTGTACATAAAAGCTATAAGTGATAAATCATGATCATAATCATCATAAAAATACATTCATCATAAATCATAAGATACAGCACTTAGTGATAGAATCAACATAAATCCTTCTAGGAATCTAAATAAAACAATATAAATTGTAAAGATACAAGCAACCAAGTTATAGTTATAAATAGGAAAGGAGATAGGTAATAGGAAAGTTGAGAAGAATATTAATACAGCCTTACTAAATAGTTCGACATTGTTGTGGGAAATAGTTGTTTAGCAGAGTGATAAGATATTCAATCCTAAATCATTGGAGTTTTCTTGAAAGACATTTATGCATGCAATTTCCCATAGGGATGTTCATAATATCTCAGGTTGATTTCTTGCTCTCTGTCTCCAGTATTGTAGGAACATGCAGTTGGAAAAGAGCAAATTGGATGTCATGTTTTGTCTAGGAGTGGGAATCTTTGGTATTTTGGACTACTTAATATTTCCAGCCCTGGACACCTCCCCACCCTCCATTAAAATAGTCAAACTTTCATATGAAACTGCAGTGCATTATTTTTAATGTTGTAAAACTCTGAAGTGAAAATGCAAAGAAACCCTTTGGGGCCTGCTGTGTTCCCTGTGAGCTATTAAACTGATATCTAGAGATATGGAAATGTATATCGTTACCTCCAGATGGAAATGGGGAACTCGAGAGCAATGTATGGATGAAGAGGAAATAAAAAGCCTTCACCTATCCTGATTCTGTAAGCCTTTGCAGAATACCACAAGTTCATTTCCTGTCCATGACTCAGAAGATTAGAGAGAGCAATGTTTCCATAATTTTTTTTTCTAACACATAAAGAGGATTATATGTCCAGGTAGTTCTCAACTTACAGCAGACCATGTAAAGTTACGATGGCACCGGAAAAAGTGACTTATGACTGTTTTTCACACTTATGACAGTTGCAGCATCCCCATGGTTGCATGGTCAATTGCCCCCAACAATCTGGCTCCTCATTTTACCCACCTCGCAAGGATGGAAGGCTCAGTCAACCTTAAACCTGGTGATCATTTGAACTGCCTCCAATTTGGTCGATCGAATCCCGCCAGGTTCCAAGGTTGACTGAGCCTCCCATCCTTCCAAGGTGGGTAAAATGAGGAGCCAGATTGTTGCGGGGGGGCGGGATAAGCTGACTGTATAAACCACTTAAAGGAGACTATAAAGCGACGTAAAGCGGTATATGCCTAAGTGCTATTGCTACGATCAAAATTTGGGTGCTGGGCAACGGGTTCATATTTATGAATGTACAAATCATAGTATACCAATAGGAGGAGACAGTAGGAAAGACGAGAGGTGAGAAAGGTGAGAAGGTGACAAGGACATTCCTAAAAACAAAGATTTATTTTTTTCAGTGTAAATACTACTGCTGTTTGGTCAGCCCTCCCTTTCTTTGGGTCCTCTTTTGGTGATCAGATGCATGGAAAGCTTCTCAGAGTGAAGATTCATAATGCTTTTTGTTTACATCTTTGCTGATAGCGTGTTATTGAGCAACCAAAGATGCTTTGTCATCAATGCCGTGGTTTGACTTCAGAAGTAGCCCGCCTTGCTTGGCAGTTTTAACAGGGGAAAGGACATCTGAAAGGAGCCTGAATCTCTTTATTATGTCCCTTTATTGTCATGCTGAATGATAAAAGCTGAAACGCCAGGAGAATAAGAGAAGCAAATGCTCCTTTCTGTTGCCTGACTCCTCCACGAATGGAAAAGGGCCTCTTTAGTTCATCCTTAGTAAACTACGCAGAATGAAACACGAAAGGCTAAAGGAGCTCATTAAAAAGCACAAGGCAGATTTAGCCTACAGTAACACTATACTGATGCAGCGGGCTTCGTTTGAGAGGCAGGAGTAAAGCTACCGTACATCCCTTAAACAGTGTTGTAAGTACACAGGGAGGGTAGGGGGAAACTTCAAAGGAAAGGACAGATCTGTGGAGATAAGGTATGTCTGAACTTTATTTGGAACATGAAAGAACATCCAAGATATGAGAAAGGAACAAAATGTGACCATCTTTGGACATTGTGAAATGGGGACAGAGGAAAAACTTACATGAGCCTCATATTCCCACAGTTTTGAATGTTTGAGTTGGAATTCAATTATCTCTGTACCACATCCATCATGGGGAAATACAAATTTGGAAATTTCATTTTGAACATTATATAAGCCCCATTTAGGCATTTGTTTCTAAAAGGGCATTTTGAGAGTGAAATAAATGTTGTCACTTTAAACAGGGCTGGGCTGCTGGGGGTGGGTTCTCAGGGGGTTCGAGAGAGCCCCTAGCTAAGATTCTGTGCAGTTCAGAGAATGGCCCAAATCTCACTCCTGGCTGGCCACGCCCACCCCGCCTCTCCCAGGAGTCCCCACCCGGCCCGTTTTGGATGCAGACAAGGGCAGGGCGCACACGGAGGTTCAGGGAGGGAGAAAAATGGGCCTTCGGGAAGGCCAGAAATGGGCCTGTTTCCAGCTCCCAGAGAGCCTCCGGAGCCCGGGGAGGCCGTTTTTGCCCTCCTAAAGGCCTGAGGAAAGCCTCCGGAGTCTGGGCAGGGCAAAAACGCACACCCCCACACCGTGGTGCAAGAGGCAGACTAGGCCAGGGGTCTCCAACCTTGGCAACTTTAAGACTTGTGGACTTCAACTAGGCCAGGGGTCAACGTTAAGACTTGTGGACTTCAACTAGGCCAGACTAGGCCAGGGGTCTCCAACCTTGGCAACTTTAAGACTTGTGGACTTCAACTCCCAGGATTCCTCAGCCAGCTCCTCACCTCAAAGCTGAGGCCACACCCACCATGGCCATGCCCATCCAGCAACCGCACAGAGAACCCGTTGCTAAAATTTTTGAAGCCCACCCCTGACTTTAACCCAGTGTTTCTCAGTCTTAGCAACTTTAAGATGAGTTGACTTTAACTCCTAGAATTCTCCAGCCAGCCATGCTGGCTGGGGAGTTCTGGGAATTGAAGTCTACTCATCTTAAAATAGCTTAAGGTTGGGAAATACAGCTTCAACCTGTGCGCTCACTGACACCATGAAAGAACTGTAAACGATTAGCGAGATGTGCCTTTACAGGAGCCATCATGATTTTCCTTCAGTGAAGTTCACTGGTATAACTGATTCATCTACCTTGTTGCTGGTTGTCCTTTTCCTGCCTTTCCTTCCTACTGGGGGAATATTGGGGTCATATGTCAGAGCATAAAAGGAGCGGCACGGTCGCCTAGTGGTGAAGAAGCTTGCCTCTCATTGAGAAGGTTAAGAGTTGAGTCCTTAGGTAGTGACAGATGTTTCTCTCTTAGAACACACACACGAAAGATCTACTATGAACTCTGCATGGTGTCAGGAAGAGTATCCGGCCAATAAATGCTCAGCTCCATCTAGTCACCTCGATTCTACCCTGAATTAATGGATTACAGGCTCATAAAAAGGGAGTTTTATGTCAGAGGACACAAAACAGCCAGTTTGGGGTTACAACACCAGGCTAGAAATCAGGTAATTGTGAGTTAGGCATGAAAACTGGGTGAGTCACTTTGGGCCAGTCACTTTCTTTCCGCCCAACTCACCTCATAGGGTTGTTATGAGGAAAATAGGAGGAGGAAGGAGTATTTGTGTGTGTGTTGGCTGTCTTTTGTTATTTTTATAACTTTATTTTTTATTTTTTAAATACTGTTTATTAAACATTTTTTTCTCATATACAACATCATTTCCATTCATTGCAATGTTTCCGTAACGGTATACATACTTTTATATAAATGTTAACTATCTGTACATTTATCTATATTCCTTAATCTGTCTTTGTCCACTATAACCTTTACCTTATTGTCCTATTGTCCTATTGATCTCTGTATCTATTATTTAGCCAATCCTACAATGCATTCCACGTCAAATAATAATCCGTTTCTTCTCTGTCTTTTATCTCCATGGTCAACTTATCCATCTTGGCACACTCTAATATATATTTTTAATCACATTTTCGTCTAGTGAAAATTTATAACTCTATTATATATGCCTTTACTACAGTATACATGGGGAGCTTGGTGCTCGTGAAGATCAGAGCATAAATCAGATAAGTAGATAAAGAGAGAAGAAAAACTGAGTAACCATGGCCAGTATGAAGCGTTCTACAAGATGGCGTTAGTTTTTGTCAATTCAAGGGATCTGATGTATAGAGGAGACTGTTTTTGAGCTACAATGTATATGCAGCCAAATAAATTAAAACCTATAGAAATATGCTCCATAGCTGTTTAGAAGTCAGGAAGGAGTTTTCTGTACAGATTTTTGTGACAATTATAAGGAGCCTGTAGTAAACTGCTGCTAGGGGTTTCCTTCTTCCTCCAAGCATGATTAAAAATTTCCTGATGCAGTAGTTACATTTGGCAGCTAGTCACACCAAAACATGGAACTAATCAATAGACTCAGTGCATAGACTATTGGGAAAATAATCTCTTTTTTTGCTTGTTCATTCTAGCAGTTTGGAACTGACTCCCACTTGAGTCTTGGCAGATTTATAATACCAGAAAAATTCTTAAGTGACCTGAGTAATTAACAATCCTTCCTTATTCAATAGGGCTCCATGTTCAGGCTGCACCCAAGCCTAGGAGAATAACCAGATCTTCAGTAGCTTCCTAAATAACCATCAGGGTGGGAACCATCCAAATCTTTGTGGGTTATCATTCCAGAGGGCAGATACTACAACTAAGTAGGCTCCTTGGGTCCTGCTAGGCATCTCATTGTTTAACCAATGAGACTCAAAGCATGTCGACTCTACCCAATCACATGGGGCAGCAGGAGATAGGTGGTTCCTCAAATCAATTGGACTGGTGTCATGAAGGGCTTATAGGAGATAACCAGTATTTTGAATTGTGCTTGGAAGACTGCTAATAAACAATGGTTCACAGGAGCACAGTGGTGGTATTCTACTGGTTCGGCCCAGTTCGGCCGAGCCGGTAGCGGCAATGGAGACCAAACCGGTTCTCTCCGCTTGTCTGCTGTTGGGCCCACCCGCTGGCCCGGGCTCCCCTACTCACAGCTGCTTTGCACAGAACAGCAGAGTGCCACGTGGCAGCTGCTGAAGCAACTGGGAGAGTGCAGGCTTGCAGGAGGCGAGTTGGAATGCTTCTGCGCCTGTGCAAAGTGTGCGTTTGGTGCACGCACACACACAAAGTGCGTGCACACGTGCAAAGCGCACCCACCAAGCCACATTCACCGAACTGGTAGTAAAACTTTCTGAATCCCACCACTGCAGGAGCATAATAAAGCGTGCACACCTACTGCCTACACCACGGCATTCTGGATCACTGTACGTCAAGCGCTAGGGAAATGAGGAGATATAGGCCAGTGGTGGCTAATCTTCTTAGGCTCCTCTGCCAAAAAATTGTGCGTGCGCTTGCACTCACGCTAATGTGCCAGCACTCAGAAGACAATGCGCACTTGCCATGCTCCCTATGCATGCGCAATCCCCAGCCACCCATCCCCTGCCACCCCCTTACCTGCACTGCGCCTCACAGCTGATTTGAGGCCAGTTTGAGGCCTTTTCGGCCTCCCAGAGGCTTTAGGAAGACTTCTGCAGGCTTTGCAGGACGAAAACTAGGCCCGTTTCATCACTTCTGGTATTTCCGGAAAAAACAGGAAATGATGAAACAGGCCTAGTAGATTAGAAGCCTGCAGAAGCCTTTCTAAAGCCTCTGGGAGACCAAAAAAGGCCTCAAACCAGCTGAAAATCAGCTGTGAGGTGCGTGCATGCTCAGTGAGGTAAGTTTGCTTGTAGCTCGCGTGCCAGCACAAATGGCTCTGCGTGCAACCTGTGTGCCAGAGGTTCGCCATCACGGATATAGGCAGTTCAAATGGTTATAAAGGTTTATTGCCAGCTTAAAGTCTTTATAAGAATCTGAACTTCTAACAGCCCAGGCAAATTGGCAGTAGATAAGGGTCACAGGAATTCAAAGTGGATTGGACTTGGACAAACTTGACATCTTTAAGACTTGTGGACTTCCGCTCCCAGAATTCCTCCTCCAGTCATGTTAGCTCAGGAATTCCGGGGGTTGAAGTCCACAAGTCTTAAAACTTGCCAAGTTTGAAGACCCTTGGACTTGCATCTCTTGAAGGGGCAAAGGGATTCATGACTGATGATGTGTTTGACTCTTCCTTCGGGCCCAGGCTGGTCATATCCTAGATCTGTGATGGTGAATCTGTGGCACGCATGCCACAAGTGGCATGCAGAGCCATTTGTGCTGGCACGTGAGCCCCACGCAAACTTACCTCAATGCGCATGCGCGCGCCTCACAGCTGATTTTTTGGCTGGTTTGAGGCCTTTTTCAACTTCCCAGAGGCTTGGAAAAAACCTCTGCAAGGCTTTTCAAGATGAATAATAGGCCTGTTTCATCACTTCCTGTAATACTAGAAGTGATGAAATGGACCTATTATTCGTCCCGAAAAGCCTTGCAGAGGTTTTTTTTTCCAAGCCTCTGGGAGGCCAAAAAAGGCCTCAAACCAGCCGAAAAGTCAGCTGTGAGGTGCAGTGCAGGTAAGGGGGTGGTGGGGGGCGGATTGCACATACATGCACAGTGGGTGTGGGTGCATTGCATTCTGGGTGCTGGCATGTGAGTATGCATGCGCGCCAACACGCATGCAATTTTTGGCCCAGGAGCCCCAAAAGGTTAGCCACCACTGTCCTAGATATACCCTCCAAGTGACCTTCAAGGGTAGCCCCACGAACCGTATATCACAATAGTCCACTTGTGATGCGACCAGGCATGAGGGACCCTCTGAAGGACATTCAGGAAAGGATGCAACTGGTGCACTAGATATGTCTATGCAAAGGCCTTCTTGGCCATGGTGGCTATCTGCTCTCTGAATAAAGTATTCAAGATCTTCCTCAACAAAAACCATTTGAGTCAATAAAGGAAACACAAGGTTTGATTTGGAAAGACAATTAGTACCAGTTTTATGGCAAAGCTAATATTAATTAGATATGAGTAGGGAATAATGAGTGAATACCCATTTTCTTAAATCCAATGTGTACAGGTTTGGGGCAAGGAATGGGTAAAGAAGAGAAATAGCAGAAAAGGACCCTGTACTCACGAGATAACCATAGTTTTTATTTTATTTTTTAAAGACTTTAACCAAGGGCTTAATAAGTCTTGTATTCAAGATTGGCCTAAACAAGGTTATCTTAATATCAGATAAGGTTTGCAATCCATAAATAAGACATTTCAAAGGCTTTCCTTATGCTTTTGTAGGCAGGTTGGTTGCTTGTTTGATTAGGCAAAATTTTATAGTAAATAAACTTTAACTTAATTAGTAGAAGGATGCACACCCTTGTCTTTAATTTAGCCAATAGAAATGTGTAAGCCATGACGATCAAGACATTTTGTTCCTTGCAATCGTACTAAACTTTTCCTAGTTGGGCTCCCAGAACAAAATGAACTTTTAGAAGATTTTGGATAATATTTAAGCAAAATAAAAGTCAATAAAATATCAAGAAACAAACCAACTGTAATATGGCTGTGGATTTATTCATTTTGGAACACCAAAAGCTGGTCTTTTTTTACAGGGTTCATCCTTCTGTTGTCCTTGAGAGCCATCACTTAGTAATGAACTCACAGATATACTATTTTCTGTTGTTGGCCTATATTAGTGTATTTCCTCCCTCCCTCCCTTCCTACCACCTTCCCTCCCCTTCTTTCATCTTCCTTCCTTCCCCCTTCTTTCCCTCCCTCCATTCCTTCCAACGACAGGTCGCTTATTATAATTTTAAAAAGGAAGGGACTTTTGGATATGTGTACTGATTTACATCTTGAAAGTCATCTGATAATGATTAAGGAATAAAGTTGTTATGGTGTCACAAGAGAGCCATGATGATATGGGGAAAATAAATTTTATATTGAAACAAATGAAGAATATTATTTTCTGCCTGAAAAATATTGCCTAAATGTATCTGGACACGGCTTATGTTTTCTGTGCACTTTATTCCTATACTCTTAAGAACAACTCTAATACATAAGTATTTTTTTTTCTCTGCCCCACAGGGAGAGTTACCCCAGAACAGCTTCACTCGTATATCCAGCTCTTCAAAAAGAAATTTGACGCTCTCAAAAATCATTGTGGGCTTTTGCAGATCGCACTGGCTGTTGTGCAGACCCTAAAAGACCCCCAGAATGCCAAATGGGACAACTTTTTAGCCTTTGAACGGCTATTTGTACAGGTACCCTATAAGCTGAACTTTTTTTTAGGAGCAGACGTTGCTTATGCTGCTTTCTTATTTTATTCCTTATGTGTAGGTAGTAATGAACTTCGTAATTCATTAAAAAGCAAAGTGGAGATGACTTGAACTGCCTACCTCAGAGTTAATTCAGAGGAGAGTTTCTGCCAGGGCAAATGAGAAGCAGAATGAGGGAAGAGCTCCCGCCAGCCCAGAATAGATTACAGTGATATTTTGCAGATCTGCAGCACTTCAGGGTGGAGAAAATTAGTTTTGCTGCAATTGGCAGAACTAATGATGACCGGACCTATTCTGAACACTCTGATTTGGGCTTGATCCTGGTGAGATTCGATCTGCCAAAGTACAGTCAGCTGGCAGTCAGCAGAAGGAGCCTGCAGTACTGCACTCTAACCACTGCGCCACAGAGGCTCTGTGAATGATAGCCATGTATCCATACTCCAGCTGTCTTAAGTGCAAGGACTGATCTTTAGACACTTTTTTTCTTTTCTTTTTTTTATACAGTTTTTTGTTTTATTTTTATTACAAACATATCTTCTTCCATTTGATGATGTGTCGCCTGGATACAAGTACCTTGTTCAATGCAATTGGTAATTAAAATCATATTCATTACATTGGTATTATTCTCTAATCTTGTCTTAATATACTTAATATCTCTATCCCTTTACTCTTTTTCTTAACTTATTTATTTCTGTTAAGCTATCTTCTATATTTAACATTAACTAGTCCGTTAACTATGTCTAGTTTTCATATTTTTTTCTCCAGCCATTGGTAGAATGCAATTTCTTTTACTACTGGTTCTGTGGGCGTGGCTTGGTGGGCATGGCAGGGGGAGGATACTGTAAAATCTCCATTCCCTCCCCACTAACCTACTTTCCAGCTCCATTCTCCTGTGCAGGGCAACAAAAGAAGACCCAGCTGATCAGCTGGGACTCAGGAGGCGGGAAATGGGTGGGGACGGGGTCAGTCAGAGGTGGTATTTGCCGGATCTCTGAACTACTCAGAATTTCTGCTACCGGTTCTCCAAAACTGGTCAGAACCTGCTGAATACCACCTCTGGTAAAATGATTGCCATACCTTATAGTATTCAGTTTGCTCTTTTTCTTTAATTGCAAGTTAGACACTCTCCCCCCCAGTGTCATTATAACTTCAAATGAATTAGACTTAGACTTAGACCAGAGAGAAAATAGAATGGAATGGAATGGAGAGAAGACGGAAGAGAAGACAAGACAAGACAAGACGGAAGAGAAGATGGAAGGGAAGGTGAAGGGAGAGGAGAGGAGAGGAGAGAAGATAAAGGGAAAGAGAAGATGGAAAGGAAGGGAAGAGAAGACAAAATGGAATGGAATAGTTGCTAAACAGATGGCTATTAAATGAGGACTACATGTAGAGAGGATCCAGGATGCAAAGGGTTATTCTGGACTCCTTCCAGTCAGTCTTCAGATGAACAACATGATACAGCATTGATCAAATTTTAGATGACCTCTAATAGGACTGGGACAGAGGAAATGCATTCTGCATATTGTAGCTGTTCTTGGTCTCTTAGTGGCTTTTGATAGCATTGACTGTGATATCTTCATGCTTCAGCTTCAAGATTTAGCAATGGGAGGCAGGGTGTTACTTTTTTTCTTCTTCCTTCCATCATAATTGTTCCCAGAGGGTGTTGCAGCAGAGAAGATAAGCCCCTTGCATGGCAGCATCCACCATTATGTCGTCCTGTCTAGACTACTGCAATGTCCTTGCACGTGGGATTGTCCTTGAAAATCTTGTGGAAGCTGCAGCATAAGAAGTTATGAGTGCATGTTGTAAACCAGGGGTCTTCCAACTTGACAGCTTTAAGACTTGTGGCCTCCAACTCCCAGAATTCCTCCTCCCGTCATGCTAGCTCAGGAATTCTGATTGTTGAAGTCCACAAGTCTTAAACTTGCCAAGTTTGAAGACCCTTGTTGTAGACTATCATGTCTACTATGCAGCATTGTATTTTTATTTCCTTCTTGTCATGTTTCTTCAAATTGATCCTGCAAATTAGAAGGCTTAAAGTTCTCATTGACAAATAACAGAGTAAAAGACTTTACCAATATTGTGAAAGCAGTATGGTCCAGGGATGATTTCAAATTGCCATAGGGACCCCATAAAATATACTTGAAGAGACAATCTATCACCAAGACATTATCCAGGCCCCAAGTTTGCTTCTATAAGATCTTTGGTATTTAAAAAAAAACACTACTAGATCCAAACTCATCTAGATAAATCTCTTTGAAGTCCAATTAAACTCAGTGGGAGAGTTAAGCTTGTACTAAAATCCCTACCACTAAAATCCATCCAACTCAGCCTGCAGTTCTATATTAAGTATTTTTTGAACTTAAGAGGGCTTTTTCTCCCCAAAATCCATGCACAGAATTAGGTTGCCTGGCTTTGGCTGGACCATACTAATGGTGTCTGAAGTATGAGTATTCAGTTTATAGTTTTATTTGAACAAACATAAACATACAGTACTTCATAAAGAGTTAAAACAATCCAACAACGGTGTTGCATTTAAAACTGAAGAAAAATAAACAAAAAGGAAAACAAAGTAGCACCAAATCCTTTCCTAAACATCTGTCTCTGGATTTATACCCATTATGTTTGTTTCTTTTTTTTTAAATAGGCCAGGAATTGCGACCGAAGTCAGCCTTCCCATTCAGCATTGTCATTATCTCTTGTGTACACGGTCATTTTCTTTAGTCAAACATTGCATTATATGACCCATAAGGCTTGCAATTTTCTACGTTCTGAAGTAGGGTACGGTGCTATTTCGAATCTAGAGCAGGGAAGCATGTGGCTTAAAGAGAGAGAGAAAGTCCAGTTTAGTAATTGAATAGTCTGCCTCTAAGAATTCAGGGTCTCAGAAAATTTCCTTATGAATATAAACTGTTAGCAGGAGTAACATCAGCTGGGAAAGAGGCCATTTTGATCGGTATTGTGAGATGCATGTAGTTGCCTTGCAGAATTTTGGTTCTGTTTACTTGCCTTGAACATAGTAATGAATAAGCACGGTACTTAAAATTGTGCAGGACATTTATTTATTTACTTACATTTTTAGAATAGTTAGCTTTGAATCTTTCTTTCTAGTCTATCAGAGCCCAGAGACGGCTAAGAATTGAAAAGCTACCTGGTCACCCTGGGGGAAGGCAAACTCCTGTAATTAAAATATTGCATCCAATTAAGTTGACCTAAAAGCTAATTCTATGCATTTATATGATTCCAACTGCGTCATTGGGGGACAATCAATTATTTGATATCAGTCTTCAAAAACTAAAATTCCTTGTCAAATGGAAATAACGGATTGGATAATGGAAATAATGGATTGGATCAAATTTACTTAATAAAATATTTTATTACCTTAAAAAAACATTGTAAAGCAAAATCTCATTAAACATTTTCTATGTTGATCTTGGAGTGTGCTACACAGTTCAACACAGTCTATTTTCAAGGCAGTTTTATCTCTGCATATCTCACTAATTTTTAAGAACTTTTCAAGTACATTTGAAGTTCTGCCATTGTTGAAAGCATTAAAGAATCTATATCCCTTAAACCATAACCAAATAGGTCACGTCTTGTAGAGTAGTTAATTAATAAGAATATCTCGGTAATATTTAAGAGGGAAAAATATTAGTTTTACGGATGGATTATCTTGAAAGGCTAGACATTTATTTGTCTTAAGAAAGAAAAAATAATTTGAATAATTGCTGTATTGAATATATGTATTTTAAAACTGATTAACATTACACATATTTTTATGACAGTCAACTTTATAGACACATTGATTTACAAGGAATAGACATGGTATTCAGCAGGTTCTGACCAGTTCTGGAGAACCGGTAGTGGAAATTTTGAGTAGTTCCGAGAAATGGCAAATACCTCCTCTGACTGGCCCCGCCCCCATCTATTCTCTGCCTCCCATTGAGTCCCAGCTGATCGGCTGGGTCATCTTTTGTTGCCCTGCACAGGAGAAGGGAGCTGGAAAGCAGGTTAGTGGGGTGGGGAGGGAATGGGGATTTTGCAGTAATCTTTCCCCTGGAGTGGGGTGGAAATGGAGACTTTGCAATATCCTTCCCCTGCCACGCCCACCAAGCCACGCCCACTAAATCATGCCACGCCCAGAGAACCGTCAGTAAAAAAGATTGAATCCCACCACTGATAGACATGTATGCATTACATCTGGTAAACATCTATTAGCTTTTGAAAAAAAAACATGCTTATGCTTGATAATGTATCTTAATAACCTTGAATTAACTTTTACTTCAGATAATATTTTGAAGTGGCACAACTTCAAAGGATAACTGAAATATATTTTATGTAATCAGGAATAACTGTCTTGCAGTTATTGTTTTTGTGTTTTTGTGTCCCTGCGTTGCATGACTGTTAGTCTCATGCTTTTTGATTGCCATATAACCTATAATGTTTGTAAGTGAATTGAAGTACAGAGTCAGAGCCAAATATAATTATTCCGAACTAGTTATAAATGGTCTGCTTCAAAAGGATACAAGACCTGAATAGCTTATTGATGTAGAAGAACATTTGTTGGGCACTTGTATTTCTTTTATTGTTAAGTGAGTTGATCTCAAGGTTATGTTTCCGAAGGGTTCGTGCTTATTTATTTAATAGCCATGTCAATTGCCAGAAAATTATTGAAAATGTGAAACGGATAAATGAAAGGAAAGGAACAGTTTTTTTGGCCTGAGATTTGTCTGAATATCAGCTGTAGGAAAAAGCATAAGGAATCCTTAGGTTGTATCCTACTCTAAGATAAATTGTTTTTCTGGTCATAAAATAAATAAGATTTGCTCCATTTAGCTAGAAGGAGTTATACTTTTTTCCCTTAAAGCAGTGGCCCCCAGCCTTTTGGGTACAAGGGACCAATTCCGTGGAGAGAGGTTTTTCCACGGACCGGAGCAGACGTGGTTTCGCATGCTACCTGCATCCTGCAGATGGGGCTTCGCTTG